AAACGTAAAGTAAAGTAAAGTAAAGAAAGAAAGAAAGAAAGAAAGAACGAAGAACGTAACGACGACGAGAGAGAGAGAGAGAGAGAGAGAGAGAGAGAGAGAGAGAGAGAGATAAGCAATATCTTTTAAAATTAGAATGAGCAGTGAACTCATTCAAAAAAAAAAAAAAAACTTTAAAATTAGGGCTCAGAAAAGGCAATCAAGAGCACATATCGAACAAATACTACAGTAAAGGACTCTCTTTTTTTATTATTACGACAAAGATAAATAAAGCAGGAGGGGAAAGATGATACCTGAAAGCGTCAAAAGTAACAGACTAACAGAGAAAGCAGTGATCATCAAAGAGAGAGAGAAATCCCCATGCGTATATGCTTTCAATATCAGGGGAAGCAATGCTGAGATAGTGAATTAGAAAGAGAGAGATTGAGAATGCGATTTCTAGAGAGAGAGATTGAGAAACGCGATTTCTTTCTTCTCTCATCGATTGGAAGGAGAGTAAGGTTTAGAGATAGAGAAACGCGATTTCTGCTCTCTCATCGATCGATGGAAGTAAAAAAGCTCGCGAAGGTTCACAGCAAGGATCTGACAATGAGGATGCTCCCTCGGGAGCACACTATACATTTACTTCATTGGGGAAAACACGAGGTAGTTTTTTTTTTTTTAAATTGATATCGATCTTATTATAAGTAGATGATGATTTTGAAATAAGTTTTTTGGATTTTTAAGTTATTGGACATATAGAACAGTCCCTCCAAAATTTGGATGGTTCAAATGTAATATTGGGATGCCATTTCTTCTTGGCACATAGTCAAGAGTTAATTTTTTTTTTTTTTATTCTTCTTTGAAGCTGGTTGTTGAATTCTAGAGATCACATCCCCATCCCCATAATCTGAGATCTAAAAGATAATCTTAGTGCAAGTTAGGTGAGGTTTGCATAAGACGTTCTCCTTATATTGAAGAAACAAGAGATACCTCTAAAATTTACTTGGAGATACACTTCCAAGTTTGGAAAATTTGTAATGGCTTGAAATTCTAATTATACTTCTAATTATGAAATTTAAAATTTCAAAAATAAAAACTTTATAATGGCTTGAAATTCTAATTGTATCCCTAATTATGAAATTTAAAATTTCAAAAATAATATAATAAAATATATCTATAAACATTTGAAAATCTATTTAATAGACGCTTCTGATAATTTCTGATAATTTATTATAAGATGCATCATTTTTTAGATTTGAAATTCCTTTTTTTTTCTTCATATCTGAATATCTCGAGGCCGAAATGATCAATTTGAAGAGTTCTCTTAATAACACTTTCTTCTAGATGATTTAAGATGTTTACCTTAGTTGAGCAGTATAAAGTTGCAACCTTATAAAAACTCTTTTCAACAGAAGTACACTCCCGCAGTAGGAAATCTTTTGGGTTGGACACTTAAGGCTAAAAATTCTTTTCAACAGAAGTATGGCCCAGATGGATAGTACACTCCCGCAGTAGGAAATCTTTTGGGTTGGACAATTAAGGCTAAAATTTCTTTTCAACATAAGTATGGCCCAGATGGATAGTACACTCCCGCAGTAGGAAATCTTTTGGGTTGGACAATTAAGGCGGAAAAGGCCGAAAATACCCCGAGGTCATTTCGCCTTGTTCAAAGTTTCGATTTCTTTATAATCATCATCATCGTTATTATCCCAATCATTTTTTATAAAGTTTAATAAAATTTTATTATGGCGGTCCACCGCAAAAATACATAGGAAAATATATGTTTCGAATGAAAACATAGATAGGAAAGTCCGAGGCAAAATTTGTCCTCAGATCTTCTAAAACTAAGACATTTGTAACGTCTTGGCTCACACACCCTCACATGCACCTGTCTCCTTGAGCAGCACCCCAGGAAAGAGGCCATCTCTCAATCTGCCAATGGCCTTCGAGACTCATATGGATTGGTCGGGCTGATTAGTCCCAGCCTGTGCTTTAGTAAGTTTGGTCACAAGTAAAGTTCATTTACGTTAAAATTAATGTTTAACTGATTTTGACTAGTTCAACAAGTTACTTTTGATCTATTAGATTGGTCTAATGAAATTAGCCAACTTTTTTATAACACATTTCATAAATTTAAATTATTATTTATTTGTTTATTTATTTGATTATTTATTTGTTTATTTATTTAGTTAAATTCCAATCCAATCAGTTCAACTTGTGGTCTGACCTGATTCAATGTCTATCCTAATAACACTGGTTTGATGGCCGGGCCCTCTCTCATTAAAACTAACCTTATATTAGTTCAAGTTGCTCACTCATTTCTAGCTTAAAGCACATACTCTCTCTAGCTTTAAAATGGAGAAAAAATGACAACCAAATTTGTCATCATTTTATAGTATGAGGAAAAGGAAGTTATTGACTGTCCTCTTTATATGATTTCAGCACTGAGATCGTCTTTTACCAAGTCATTTAAAGATATTATTATTAGTATTATATATCTCTATCAAATCGTTACAAAATAATAGCTCAAGTGCATATATGATGCCTGTTTATAAGGCCAAGGCCAAGACCTTAACAAGAAAATTCATTTAAATACAAAAAAGGGTTTATTTACGTTTCACATGTTACACCCCTTATGGGCTCCAAGGTGCATCTAAGTAATTTAGCCAATGGTCCTCTCTTGTGAGGTGCATAAATCCAGTGAAATGAGAAATTCATGATTCTCTTTTCCTAACCAATATTAGCACATTTGTCATATTGAGTGTCTTAAAAAATTGCGAGTAAGAGAGGGAGAGAAAAAAGATCTGCAGAGCATTTACATTGACCTGCACACGCATACTTCGGAAATTCTAAGTTCACCATCAATAAGACATGTGACCCGACGTTTCCTAGTCGAGGTCATTTCTGGTATGCTGAACCCAAACCAATGACATATTATTGATGTATTTCAATATAGATAGACAATAAAATTGATAATTTATTGGTAAGGCATTGCCCTTCTGCAATAGACCAATGACATCAAAAGAATATGGTGAAGAAAGGGTGTGGTCACATAAATTACAGCAAGTAGAAGATTGATTTACAACGGAGGCGGCCTGAAAGATCAAACAGATGCAGCAGTAAGAGAGAGAAGATCAGAAACCTTGCTGGTGTAGAAATCTGGCTGTATGGGGTTCTCTGGACTTCGAAGCATGGACAAATTGGTCACACCTGCAGTATAAGAACATTGTAAAATGAAGTTCTTATATACATTGAGACAGAAGATATTCTACTCCCGCGTGACTGGAATGTCCATTTACTCCCACAGGTAAAACCCCACCAAGAATTAATTTTAAGACCCCAAATTTTGGGGATGTAACCTCTTCAACTCATTGATTAACCTCAATTAAAAAGATTTCCTAATTGTACACTCTATACACTTAAAAAAAATAATACCTCGAGATTGAATAGAGACCCTCCAAATTTTAGATGGTGAGATCTAAGTGTTAGCAAACTCAAATTTTAATTTTCTTTTTAGAATCATCATCTATTAATTCTTAAGTGGTTCCCAAATTTTCAGATTGAAAAAACCGTCCCAATTAGGTCTTTTGACCGAGGGAGTAGAAGTAAACTATGCTCCCGAGGGAGCATATACAAGTGCTCATATAAGAGAGAGAGAGAGAGACCTGAGAGGACAAGAAGACTCTTGCAGCCACCGTTCTGTCCGAACAAGACATCTGTATCCAATCTGTCTCCTACCATACATATTTGTGACTTGAGAATATTGAATCTGTGACAATAGATTTTAAGGTTACATAAGAACCAGCAAGAAGGAATCAAAATAAGCAACTTCTTTCCCTTCTTCGATGATTTGGGTATAGAGAAGAAAAAGAATACTAGAATGTGATAGTAAACTCAGAAAAAATAATTCAAACAAAACAGCTAATTGGCAAGAAGGTTAATTAGCATAAGTTCATGCATGTGGACATG